GCTGGGGATGACGATGAAGGAGGAGAATTGCGGAAGTGGACAAAGGGGACTGGCTGGGTTAGGGAGGGCTTTTAGGGCAATGCAGAGGGTGTCTTGTCTTGCAGGCGCTAAGGGAAGGTCGCGAACGGGTCGTGACCTCTCCAAGGCGATGCCAGGTTACCTCATGTGGTGAGTTATCGTGCCATTCAACGCTAGCCAACACCAAACAGGTTGATCGGCATCTTGATGTCGTCCTTGCTTTGACGCCCTGAGTGTCGGTGCCCAGTGCCCTGGCATTTCGAAGGTCTCAGGTCCAGACCTAGGCCTGGGTTGGTTGGTGACTTCAAAGTAAGCAATTTTGGATGGCGCCTCTCAAATGGTCCCCTATGACGCACTTGGCGTGCCCCTTGTGCATTGCGAGCCAATGGAAGACGCAAGAGCAGCACACACAGATGACAGGGGAACTGACATCTGCTGGCCCAAGCTTAAGCTTTCAGGTTACATGGTAGGTTGCTGGATGGCACATGGGCAGACGGCAGAAGTTAGTTCACAGTCTCTCTAACCTAGGTAACTCAGGAACCGACTTGAGTGAGTAATTCGCTCTCTGCCACCTAGTACAGCACCGTGAGCCGGGCAAGTAGCACGTAGACCTGGTCACGATGCAAAATACCTGGGAAAGCACTCCTTGTGGCAGTAAATCATTGGACGCACTATTATCTACCCCTCGTCAAGCCATGGAGATGCGGTCGAGCCTCCAGTGACAACACAACAGCCGCCCGGCATTCAAGACTCGCAGGCAGGGTCGGATCCCAGGGTCCTGCCCAGCTTCGGAAGCTCTGTCGAAGAAAATACGAACAGGCTTCGGATGCCCGCGCGCGACACCACCCCCTGCCCCCCTCCCAGCGCTGGGGGATCCAACGCACATACACCTACACACTGGACCTCGGGACATATGGACCTGACCGGTGAGCGCTCCAACGCTCGGCCCGGTCCGGAGCCTCTTTCCGTCGTCCATGTCATCTCTCCAGCTCAGCGGTGCTGCCATCGCCATGTTGACACTCCTGTCACACTAGAGGCTTTGTATCACATCAACGACCTGTCACCGCCTAGCAGATATCTTGCCTATGTCGCACAATGTCTGACGGGGCCACTTCCGATTCCCACGCGGCTGAGTTGCCCAAGCCGCCCTTTATACCCGTTCCTGGTCTCCCAAACTTTCGCGATGCTGGCGGCTACCCGATTGACTCTCAGCCGGGCCGCATCCTGAGACCGGGCATTGTCTTCCGCTCCGCAGAGCCTTCGCGCCTAACGGACCAAGGCGTCGCCCTTCTTCAGGACATCGGTATCACCCACGTCTATGACTTGCGTTCCGCCGTCGAGCTCAAGCGCCTCGCGCAAGCAGGCGCCAATTGCGACGTCCGCGAATGGCCGGGTGCCACCCGTGTTTTCGTCCCCGTTTTCCAGGACCAGGACTACGGCCCCGAGGCTATCGCCCTCCGCTACCAGAACTATTCCAGTAACGGCACCGAGGTGAGTGAAGAGTCCCAAGTCTACGTCTGAAAGGCCGTCGGACCCCCCACCACCCGCTCGACTTCTTGCCTGGCCATCTTCACCTCGTCGAAGTTGATAACCTAAAACGTGGCCACAGGGCTTCACCAAAGCCTACGCCGACATTCTGCGCGCCGCTTCAGGGCCGGATCATCCTCAAGACCCCTTTCGGACTATTCTGTCTCACCTCGCCACCCCGGAGATTCCGACGCCGTTGCTTATCCATTGCACGGCTGGGAAGGATAGGACGGGCGTTATCTGCGCACTCATTCTCAGCCTCTGCGGCGTCTCAGACGATGTCGTGGCCCACGAGTACAGCCTGACCGACATTGGATTGCAGGACCGTAAAGAAGAACTGGTCAACCACTTGCTGGCCACGGAGGCCATGAAGGGAAATCCTGAAGGCGCCCGCCGCATGATCGGGTCCCGGTATGCGATAGATCATTTGTTACCCCAGCTATGCTAAACCGCCACTGATAATTCTGAAAACCCTCAGCAAGGAAAACATGCTTTCCACTCTCAAACTGATTCGCCATGAGTACGGGTCGGTCGAGTCATTTGTGCAGACAAGATGTCGCCTCTCGTCAAAGGCTATAGAGCAGATTCGCAAGAACCTCGTCGTGGATGTTGCAGATGGTCACCGTGTTGTAGACTGGGTTTCGCACACCAAGTACTTGCTTTGATGAATATGATAGTCTTTTTTGGGCTGAGAACTCCTTCTTCGAGCTGCCCGTTCGCTGAATCAACGTCATACAGTTACATGTATACATACAGTAGGTAGTTACAGCCGTCGGTTCTCTGTCAGACCGACGCTAATGTTGGAAGTGGCACTAACCAGACCTTTGTGGCTCTCTCGTTCATGCAGCGAATAGCCTTTCGCCAGCACGTCGTGCCTTGGTATCGGAGACTACTCAAATCATGTTGAACTTGAGTGTTCATGGTACCGATGTGGGGAGCTTAAACTCTCCCTTCTTGCGGTCATAGAAAGGCACACCATATCTCCAGCCCACAGCCTTGCGGCCACGGCCGTCCTTGCCAGCGGCTTCGACGTTCATCTCCTTGAATCTGAACTCAAAGCGACCAGTGTCCACGCGTGTCGTTTCTTCCTCCGCCTTTTCCAGACGCCGCCTCTCCTTCTCAATGAGCCTGTCTTCTTCAGCTCGAGTTGTCTCCTTAAACTTCTCGAACGCCTCAGCTGGCTTCACGCCGCTGTCTATTGATTTCCTCATTGTCACAAGCTCCTTTAAAGGTGATCGCTGGTCGGCGGATAACATGTTCCTGTGGAATGCCTTGGCCGCGTCCTCTCTGTTGAATTGACGTGACTCGGACACGGGGACGAATAGTTGCTGCATCGTGAGCTTGTGTACGTGAATCTCATTGATTGGTTCATGGGGAATTTGAGCCTCCTTCCTCAAGATGGTCTGGGGAAGCATGCCCAGGACCGCTTTAGCATAGGGTGTAGCTAGCTGCTTCTTCTATTATTTGATTGTCGTCAGCAGGTTGTCTACGCAGAGTCTAGAAATGTTGCGAAGAGAGATAGTGTAGCTAATCAGAGAGGCTCGCAGTGCCAAAGGTGTAACCATGTAGTGTGTCTTCAAGACTAATCGAATTTTGGAAAGTTGATCATCATAGAATGCTTGTTGATCCCGGGGGAACTGGGTAAAGACGAAAAAAAAAGGAACAGCTTACCTCGGCAACCCATTGCTTCTCCATCTCCTTCATGCGCACCACCGCAGCAACTCGGCGAACATCGACACCCAGAGAAGATGATACCGTCTTAAGCGAGTGTTTGCTCGTCTTGACTCGATGGTAAATCTCTTCCCTCAGTTCCTCGCTCAACACAGACTGGCTTCTGAAAAGAGGGTTCAGAGGAAAAGGCTGGTCTGGCAGCGATCCCACGTATTTCGGACCATTCTGAGGAGCGTCGCGAAATAGCATGCCACCTTTAGGATCCTTCAGCCATCGGTAAAGACCGTGCTGCGCCTTTGACCTTCTGAGCTGCTGCGACGTTGTGGAAAACTGGCAAGAGACTTGCGCAGCAGGACAGGATCGTGACGCTCTGCTCAGTTGAGCATCGCACCACTTGGCGCCAACGGTCAGTGGCGACAGTGACGAGCCGGTTCGTGGAGGCATTGTGATCAAAGTCGTCTGGCCGCAGATGCGCACCTAGATTCGCCAATTATGGTGAGATCATTGGAGTGCAGACGGTGTCGAGACACGAGAATTGTGATGGGAGAAAGAAAAAGTCGGTTCGTGTCCAATTTTTCCCTCGTTTTCTTCGGAGCCGGTGCACGGACCAGGCCTGGTGGAAAAGCTTTGTTGCCTTAGTCATCCAGCCACTGCCCGCCCCCTCCCCTCTTAGTCAGCTGACCATTTCCGTTCGAATGAGTGCAGAGGAACGCCATAGACCAATCGTGAACTGCGTGCCTTCAACTCTTCCGATGCTTTTGATCATATTCCAATATGCAGAGTGCTTCGTTTGTTTGCTTATTATCATTATTTCCTGAGTGCTTGCACCATCCGGTCCCACCCTGTAAACAATTCCCGCGTATTCTCTTATTCCGTCACCCCTCATCAAGGGGATGGCCTGCGGATCTGTCGTGTAGCCCTCGTATTTAGCTGCGTAGACGTTAAGCCCAATCCATGCGCCATGGAAACGCTACAAGCGGTGTGTTCCTTCCGTTGGTTCCCTTGGAATTGTGACTTTACTTCCAATACCATCTGGCCCCAGTCCAAGATTCTGTTGACTACTTCGATAGTACGCTGCGGAACTCTTGCTGGATATCTGTGCCACACAAAACCTAAAAAGCCATTATGCTGGAACTGATGTCATCGAGAGCCGATTCTTTTTTGCCTTCGTTTTCAAGACGGCAGATTTCTTGGCCGCTTCAGTGTCGTCATTTTGTTGACTGAAGTCTTTCCACCTTCTCCAGCCATCAAAATCGATTAAAGCTTGCATGCAACCCCACTCCATGACTTTCCTCTCGAGCCAAACAAAGTTGACTGGCTGAGTAAAGTATCAGCATTAGCTTGAAACGAGTGCGAAAACCAAATGGCGAATGCATACCTTGGTAAGGAAATCGTTGCAACCAGCTGCCAGCGCCTCATGCCTGTCGCTTTGAAGGGAACTGGCAGTTAGGGCAACGATGATGACCGGGCTCTTGAAGAGTTCCATGTTCGTCAAACGATCCTTCTCTTCCAGCTCTCCATTCGTCAATTCCGGTACACTGGAAGCAGAGGAGGAGAAGACGCCAATGGAATTGACTCGTTCTAGCCTCCGAATTTCTCTGGTAGCATCCAACCCACTCATTATGGGAAGCTGAATATCCATCAAGACGAGATGAAAACCGCCAGTTCTCCACATGGAGACGGCGTCCCGGCCATTGACGGCCGTCTTCCACCTCACCTTCAGACGCTTGACGAACGCTTCAAGCAGTTTGAGGTTGATTGGATTGTCTTCAACAATTAGAACGTTAATAGGCGGCACCCCGCCGTTCAGTATGCCGGCTGGCAGAGTTGGATGATCCATATTCTTCTTCGTCTTCTTCGGCCGAGAACTTGCCGGACGAGGCGACGCTGTTCTTGGCGGAGGAGTTGCCACTCTCTGCACCTGCTGAACTTCTGGAGCAGGTGGTGTTGGAAGTGGCGGTGCCACCGGTGCTGTAGCCGATTGCTCCGATGCGTTCGAGTGCGTCCTTGAAGGCGGCAATCTGGGGTGAAATGCGTGTGAGGCGTGGTTCGCCGCAGTAGCGGCAGCAGTCATGGATTGGGCATTAGCGACGTTTAGTATGGTCGGAGAGGACGTATGGGTTCTCCCCAATCGCGGGCGTTCGGGTCTTTCTCTGTATGCGCGAGAACGTGTGCCTCCTGGAGAAGGGATAGGTGGTATTTGGCCAGTGCCGAGCACGGCAATAGAATGTGCGTGGGGTAGGTGTGGGTGTACGGGATGGGCGGGATGGAGAGGATGTGCCGGGACGGTGGTGGCAGGAGCAACGACCGGAACGGGTAAATTGGGTGATGGAAGCGCGCCTACAGGAGGAAAATAACCCTCGCCAGCCTCAGATGGCCTACCTTCATCGGCGTAATAGACAGCTGTGGCATGGGTTGGGGCCCGAGGAGAAGGTCTCGGTGTACGTCTGCTGGGTATATCGATGACCAGGGCCTCGTCGACCATTTGACCGCCCGGAAAATACGCATCGAGGGTACGACCCATGGGTTCTTCGGGGCCTAGTAGGCGGTCCTGCCTCTGCTCCCGTGGGCAGATGCGCAATGTTAGGTCGGGAGAGTCGAAGTGTCTGCCCAGAGAGTTGGCGTATTTTCTCAAAATCATATCGCGCACGTCGTCGACCAAATCATCCTCATTGATGGTAATGAGAGTAGGAGAGGCACCAGGGCGCCTCACCCAAACCTTTCGGGTGACCATGTTTCCGTTGATAGGAAGCAGCGCTTCGGCTGCGGAGGGATCGACTTCGTGGTTCGTCTGCGCGGCGTCGAGCAAGGTGCGGATTAAAGTAGTCTGGCGATTGGGCAGGAGGCTCTGGCGGCGAGGAGGCCCGTCTGGCCTGGGCGACGATGGTGAAGTCGGTAGGACGGCGGCAACAAGTGGCGTGGAGGTGCCGATGGCATAGCTGAGGGGGCCAAGACTGTCGATGTTGTGGTGAAGGGCAGGGTCAGCCTCGACGACTACAGTTGGAGGGGGTGGGGATTGCGGCGGCAGGGGAAATGGCTTTTGGTCTTGCTTATGTTCGTCGACGGCGTGAGGTTCCGACAAGGCAGCGGCAGGCAAGGCCTGATTTTCATTGATGCTTGGGAGATTGATGGTGTTGGCAGCGGTGGTCACGGTAGTGTTCGTTGATGGGCGCAGATCGTTTCCTGTCGGTCCAAGGTCGCCGCTAGCTGAACGTCGGTCAAAAGCGGCAGCGGCAGCAGCAGGTGCAGGTGCAGGTAACACCAGCGCGGCCGAGTCAGCGTTGGTGTGTGGCTTGTGGGCACCCATACCCGAGTTGTCTCCAGTTTCTTTGGGCCGCTGCTCGTCCGCACTGTCAGCGGAACCCTCCGTCACCAAAGATGGGCTGCTCTCAGGCGCATGAACGCTCTCGTCCTGGCCGAGGTGATGGACATGATGTAGGTGGTCTGTTTCTTGTTGCTGCGAAGGCGATGGTTGTGGTGGCGGCTGCTCATGGCCGTCTTTATCATGTGGTTCATGGGCAGTGGTAAGCGTAATTGCCGCCTTCAATCTCTGCAGCAGCGGGTGGTCTGCGCCAGGTTCAGGGCTGCCTGGACATGGAGTGTGCGGCTGGGACTGAGACTGGGGCTGGTGATGGGGCTGGTGCAGATGTTGGGAGCTGGAGGCGGTTCCAGCGGCCGAGGATTGCCGCGTGAGCGAGCTGTGAGCATCGCCGTTGGTGCCGTTGGTGGATGCTAGCGAGGGGGCGGCCGAGTTTCTTCGGATGAATTTGGCCCTAAGGCGAGCTCTGATATCACCAGCAGCACCCATAGAAGCTCACATCCAGTGCGAGGGAGGGCGCAACTCCCAGGCGAGAGAGCTGAAGTCGCGTTGAGCTGCAAAGAGTAGGAAATAGCGGATGAGCAGAGCAGGTGAGCAGTTGAGCAGGTGCGGCACAGCTGGGGTCCGTAAACCGTACGTGTCGTGTCGTGTCGCGTCGCGGCGTGTGGCGGTGGCGGGTGATATACTCTTGTTTGGTGGTGATCAGGTGGATTGATGGATTGATAATAATTGATACAAGGTTGGGTCTGTTGTGACTTTGGTCTCGGTGACGCTTCGTCCAGGACCGCGGTAGCAATGAGACAGCACAAAAGAAATGTAAATGCTACGACGTATGCGTGGAACACGCAAAGCTGGCTTGTTGGGTTGGTAGGGACAAAAAAAACAAAAGGAAGAATGAAAGAGGCGAATGAATATGGATCGGTACGATGCAGTTGGAGAAATGGCAGGCCTTAATCTGGGGGTAGCGGAGAGAACAGGACGGCGTGGATGGCATATGAAGGGATAAATGATGATTACCTTCCTGGAACTCGACTAGAGCCTTCAGCCATGAAGCAGAAGCCTTGGATTCAATATGTAGGCCAAAGGTAAGGCGAGCAGGTCCAGGACGAGGCACCCCGACAGACAACGTACGTGGGTAACGAATTCGAGGCACCTAACCTTAGGTAGCCCAGTTTGCTAAGGTACCTGGACGAGTCGACGATGCCAAATCTGCCAGTAACGCAAGGTCTATCGTTGGCAACTGGGGAAAATCGCAAACCATAGACGAGGTGACAACAGTAGCACCCTAGGCCATACTCACGAATAGGAAGGGTACGGATGCAGTCAATACAATGGCAAAAAGCCTGCTTTCCTCCTTCATTTCCCACATCTGGCCGCCATCTTTCGTGCTGCAGTCGACCCACCCCTTTCCCCCCCCCCTATCCTCATTGGCGCCCTTATCCCTCGTCGCCTCAGTCCCGACTTGCCCAGCTGTTGTTCATCGAGATCTTGCACGCCAGCGCGCCCGTGCTCGCGAATCCCCAAACGGCGTTCCGACATGCCACACTGAATGCGACCACTTCGTGACTTTGTCGATGGGTGAATACCAAGTGAAATTCGAGGACAACTTCCCGGCCAAGATAAACAACAAGCGTTCGTACTTTACCTTGTAGTGAGTGTCCTAGCACCTGGGCGCCCAAGGTAAAATGTACCCAAGGTAGGTAAGGTAGGTAAGGTACCTACGCTCACTGCTGTCGGTACCTACCTTACTTGCCTGACACAGGTAAGGTTCCTACCTACCCGACATGACCCACTTCACCTTCGAAATAGGTAACACTGGACTAAATAATGACATATCCATCGGTTCTGAAAGTTCAGCCTCGTATCCCAATAGCCCATCGTTGGAGCTCAGCAAGTGTTGCCCATCATGTGCGTCGAACCGCAAGAGACAGAACAACGGTATGACAGGCCTGTCCCACGCCCTCCAAGGTCGCCCACCAAATCCAACAATATCCGCTCCCACAACCGCCGCCGCGAGTTTCTCACCAGAAATGGCCAATACTTCCAAAACTCAGAACACCAGCTAGCAGGTCAGTCTATCGCGTTATTCACACGGCCACATATCATCTACGTTTCGAGACGCTCATAATAACAGCATTCTAGATCCCCTTCTTTACAACACCCTGGTCCGCAGGTTTCAGACGCCCGCAGAGCGAGAGGCAGATGGCCGAGCCAAAAGCTACTCCCGTGTTTTAGAGGAGTCGTTGCTAAGGGGAGAGGCCCGCCTTGCCGACCTCAACAAGTCTTCAGCTATTGGTGGTGATGCTGAAAAGATTGACTGCGCCAAAAGCTTCACCACAGAATCTGACCTTTCCAAAACACAGAATAAGCAGGAAGGGCTGGATAGATGGACCGAGTTTCTGACTGAACGTTTTGTTCACGGTCATGATGACGATTTCGACTACACACAAGTCGATGACAACGACGAATACGACGACATGGAGAGACGCGACGCCGAGGACGCATGGTTTGATGCGGAAGATCCGAGTTGGGCTAGCGACGCGGAAGACAACCAAAATGGCCGTGTCAGTCATGGCACGCAAAAGCGAGGAGAAACTGGTATCCAAGACTTCTGAACTGGGTGATGAAGCCGCCACGAGCGATTCACTTTGAGACTTTTCGTATTTTACAGTCTCCGCTCCCGATTCGACATCCCGTCGCGCCATCGTTCTTTCCATTCTCATCTTATTCAGCTCGGCTAAACTCGTCGTGCCATGGAGGGGGCCGTAGCCTCCCGTCCACCATCTTCAAATCCTCGACAGGACTCACATGCTACGCTGAGCGAATGGGCGTCACCCCGGATTGCACGTTGTCGCCGTGATGGAAATTTGCTCATCTCTTCATATGCTTATAGACGGCGTGCAGTATGCTAGCTGAGCAAATCGACCCACGACGTCGGGGCGACTCCCGTCAGGCTTGGCGGTGACCCCGCTGTGAAGTTGGGGCGCGTCCTGGACAAGGTCCAGGATGGGATAAACCGGGAAAATGCGCTGGATAAATTCAAAGGACGCTGGCTAGCCGTCCCGCAAATCCCACGTTACCGGGCCAGCTTGTGTTGGCCATATCTTCCACAACCGCAGTCCCAATATCCATTGGTGGGGAGCGAGATTCCTACGAATATATTTAAGAGCCTCCCTTCCTCCTCTCTCTAGTGCTGATATCGTGTGAAGAAAACGTCCTTCGGATATCTCTGTCGTCGGCAAGCTGTGCTTTCGAACAGAGAACCAGTCACCAGAGGGTACAACTAACCCCAACTTCGACCGCCCAAGCCCCCGCATTCAACCCCGCACTAGATCGCTACTTCCCCTCTCCCTCTCGTCCCCTCGTTGTGTCAGTCCCCATCCTCCACGATGGCACCCCTCATCGATCACATTTACACGGCCGACCCCTCAGCTCATGTCTTCAATGGCAAAATTTACATCTACCCCTCTCATGACCGTGAGACGGATATTCAGTTCAACGACAATGGCGATCAATATGACATGGCCGACTACCACGTCTTTAGCACCTCGTCGCTGGATCCTCTCGAGCCCGTCGTAGATCACGGTGTAGTGCTGAAGACAGAGGACGTTCCGTGGGTTTCGAAGCAACTCTGGGCCCCCGACGCCGCCTTCAAGAATGGAAAATACTACCTGTACTTCCCTGCTCGCGACAAGCAAGACATCTTCCGCATTGGCGTCGCCGTGTCGGACAAGCCTGAGGGCCCTTTCACCCCTGACCCCGAGCCTATCAAAGGTAGTTACAGTATCGACCCGGCCAGCTTCGTCGATGATGACGGGCAGGCATATCTCTACTTTGGTGGTCTGTGGGGCGGTCAGCTGCAATGCTACCAGAAGGGTAACGATATGTTTGACCCCGAATGGCTAGGCCCTAAGGAGCCCAGCGGCAAGGGGGTTTTTGCTTTAGGTCCCCGTGTCGCCAAGCTCACAGAGGACATGCACCAGTTTGATGGCGAGGTCCAAGAAATTCTTATCCTTGACCCCGAGACGAAGAGGCCCATTCTGGGTGATGACCACGAACGTCGCTTCTTCGAGGCTGCTTGGATGCACAAGAAGGATAACCTCTACTACTTCTCCTACTCGACGGGTGACTCTCATTACCTCTGTTACGGAACAAGCGAAAGCCCATTTGGTCCCTTCACCTACGGAGGACGCATTCTTGAGCCTGTTCTTGGCTGGACGACACATCACTCGATCGTGGAGTTCAAGGGCCAGTGGTGGTTATTTCATCACGACTGTGAGCTGAGCAATGGCGTGAACCACCTGCGATCCGTCAAGGTCAAGGAGATATTTTATGATGCGGAGGGAAGGATCATAACGGAGAAGCCTTGATAGATGTGACGTGAAGCAAAATGGATTCTTGATTTCTAATCTCTCTCTTGACCATACTTGTTTTTGTACCGTCTCAACAGGTAGTACTTCTAATAATCCTCCAACCAAAATGACTACTTGACCCTGATATCCTTAAGGGCTTACAGTAGAGAACCAAGAATTGGCTACGGCGACTTGACGCCAATTACTATTTCCCGTCGCTCATGCTGATAGACTTCGAGTACATAAAGTGGTGTTTGCAGCGAGGCATTATGAAATAGTATACTAATAGCAAGGGGTTGCGGGGGGGTATATGGGGGTAAATAGGAAAGCTAGGCAAATACCCATGACAAAGGGAAGAGAAGATGACGGGAAAATGAAAGAAACCCGTATGAGGTAGGTAGGCGATAACCGCTTGGGTTCGTTAAGCTGTCTCAACAACGCCAAAACGCAGCTTATTCAAAGCCTCTTCGTACTTTGCGGGGCTGTGGTCGATCAGCATGCTCGTACCAAATCGCACCTCTCTAAACCTAGACTCAACGTCTCGGACGTATTTGAGAACAATTCTTTGAGCCGGCCTGCCTATGTCTTCTTCATCGGACAAAAGAAAAGCGTCCCGCCTCAAGACTCGCGTCGACTCCACTAGGAAGACTTCGCCGGGGGGCAAAAGCTTAAGACTCATCATGTTAGAGCGCAGAGTCGTCAGCGCCGATACACTCCACTTGTCCTCTTCGGCAGAGCTTGAGCGGCTGCTATTTGTGTACCACTTGTCGGCCAGACCGGACTGGAAAGCCTGCCAGATCCGCTGTCTCACCTCACCCTTTGCCTCGTGGTTGTCGCTCTTGAATGCGAGAGCGACAGCTTGAAAGTCGTGGAGCACACCCAATGACAGAAAGGGAACCAAGTCGCTGCCGTGGACGACACTTGTAACGAGCCCTCTGGTGGCCTTGCGCAGCGATGGCGACATGGTCCCCGGCGGTCCGTATGCATATACATGAATGGGACGACCTGACGGCAAGCACACATGCGTTGTATCGGTTTCCAAGAAGCGGCCATCTCCAAGGAGGCGGCGGTGAGGCTCGGACGATGTGACGAAGCCTGTGCCGGTGGCAGAAGGCTCTGCAAGCATCGTTCCGAGGAGTGCGGTGACTCCGCCGCCGAGTGAATGGCCGCAAAGGACCAACCCGTAGTCACTGAATTCGTCAAGAGCCTCCTTCAGCGTATACAAGACGCGGCCATCGCCACCGTACAGCAAACGCCGGGCAGACGCGTGGATACCCTTATGAACCTTGTACGACTTGCCCCTCCAGTACAAGTTGTCGTAGTCGCACGCCATGTCAGCCAAGACATCTTCAAAGCCAAGTGTGCCACGACATGCCAGTACGACCGCCTTGGACTCATGGTCTAGAGAGATATAGTGCACCAAAGGAACTCCGGTTCCTGTCGAGCCAGTCGTGTCAGAGCCACCTTGGGGGTCAACAAATGAAGCAAGCAGAATGCTCGCGGCTTCGGATTCGGTATGGTGGGCAAAAGATCGTATCTCGTGATGGGTGTCATCTAAAGCTCTCAGAATGGGCATCTCTTTAGAGATACCCATGAACTTCAGAAAATTGGATCCATATGATGCTGATGAGAACCTCATATACCGTGTGACGTTGCGAAGGAGATGGAATGCTGGGAAAACTCCATCCACAATGCCAGCCCTTCTCAGGGTGTCGATGGCCTCCAAATCCGTGTAAGCACTCTTTTGATAGTATGAAGATAAAACCAAAGACGTTTGCGAGCCCGTTGTCGCGATGCTGTATAAACTCGGAGTGTTGACATGGGAGCGAGCTCTACGGGACTTCATGGGGGAAGAGGGCTTCTCATTCATATCCCGTTCTGATCTGGACTTGGGAATGCCATTCTGACCTTGACCATCCCGACGGCCGTAGGCTGGGGAATGCGGCCGGTATCCGTCAAACGTATGAAAAGAATATGTATCTGTTTGCGAGACTACCGAGTCGCGCCGACGCTCGTGCACAGAGATGTAACTAGCCCGTGACGAGCTGCGTGGAACAGGAGAGGGCACATCGTAGTTGCGGCCACGCGAGTTCGACGCGGCAGTAGGCCCCATCGCTCTGCTTTGAGACGGATGGCTGGTGGGCGCCGGCGTACGCGTGGCCCTTTCTCGGAGAGGGGCTTTCGCTGCTGGCTTCACCTTCCCGGATGAGTGAGAGCTCCCAGGACCTGGCCCGTCCCGACTGAAAAGATTGGAAATGTTAGAACTTGTGCCCCTTTTCAATGCTTGTCTGATGCCGCCCTTCTTCTCGGAAGGTTTTTCAGAAGGCTTGCCAGACGAGGCAGCTTCACTCTTGGCCCTCTTGGAGGTGTATTTGTTATCAGATTGCGACGGGGCAGTCACTTCTTGTCGTGGTTTGACAGGGAGAGGTGCTAGAGGTGCACGTTGCCGCTTCTGGTTGGGAGCGTTCTCCGGGTTCTGCTTCGGGGTGGGAATCTGCGAGGCTCGGTTTCCCGTGGTAGGCGAGGATAGTCCTGGTCCTGCCTTCGCACGTCGGGGCGTAGGATTAGGCGTCACCTCCTGTCCGGGCATTGAGGAAGGGCTCCGTGATGGCAAAGATTTGGGCGGTACTGGTGGCGGCTCCTCGAAATCAAGCTCCCGGCCGTGATCATCAGACTCCTCAGTATCGTCCATGCACTCCACTGACCCAGCAACGTGCTCTGATTCTTCGAAGCCCCGGTATGTTGTACTTCGTTGCTTGTTCTTGTCCACGCGGTAGACCACGCGATATGTCGGGTTGTCGGTCTGGCGTGCCAGCTCCACCTGGCGCTCGGACGATGGGAGAACTTCGCGCTCGACGACCTCAACTCCTGGAGGGGGTGTGACCATGGGGGGTTCGGGACCAGTGAAGTCGACGGTGATCATTTTTCTCGTCAGAGTTGTGGTGGATATGGACACGCTCGTATCCGACGGCAAGGTTCGCATGATCTGGTTCTTGAGGCGTATTTCCGGGAGATCATCGTCTTCATCTTCACTTGTGTCTTGGCCCCCGTGACGTTCGAGAGCGGCCAGAACATTGGGATTGGACTGGTCGCTGGGCATTGACACCAGGATGTCGGGGCCCTTGCTCTGGTAACGACCCTTGTGAACGCCATATAGACTGTTCTCGTGTACATCCACCCGTTCCCCATCGTTCAGCACGACGACGTCCCAGACAATCTCCTCAAAACCCAGACGGCGAGTTTCCTCCTCCAGAAAACGGCGGCATTTGCGTTGCAAGTACGCCAGAGCACACAGGCCCATGACCAGATCGACAACCCCTACTCGTTCGCCCTCGACCCCGGTTGCTGGATTCTGAAACTCGCGACGAATAAGAGTGATGATACTCGCTATGGCACGAGAGGAGTCGGTGGAGCCGAAGAACTGATCGAGAGATGACAGCAGCAGCTGGGATATCTCGGACACAACAGAGAAGGTGGTACCAGTCATCTGAAAGCCGGTAGTGGTCCAGAAGACGATCTGTGACATGGCATGGTGGAGATGCTCTAAGCTTCTTTCCAGAACGGTCTCGGCGTCCTCCCTGGCCAGGTCGCTGTTAGATCTGGTGAGCATATCCCTCCCGGCCCTGCTGAGAATGCCTTCGAGGAGACCGCGCCCTAGCTCCAGACTGGAAAGGGTCGTAAACTTGGCAGCATCAAAGCCATAGGAGCTGAGGAGAGTGCCAACTCGGATGGCAAGACACGTCGAACGGGTAGCCAAGCTAACGGCCTTCGCAAATGGAGCTGGGAGCACAGTCCGGCCCTGCTGGGACTCGAGAGGAACATGGACCAAGTAGTGGGAGTTTTCGTCTAACTCGTCGTCTGAGTCCATTGTTTGTGGTATCAATGCCGCTGGCGACGCCAATGCGGATGTGAATGTGGGCGCTGGAGCTCGCATACGGAGGTATGAGCATCGAGCGAAGACAGGCAACGACGTATAGTTTCTGGGTGTCAAGCTGGTTCAGGTTGGAACAGATGTTGCGGACATGTTATGCTTGGCACCCTGCCACAACTCTGATTAGTTTGAAAGAGTACGTTTCGTTGTGTGGTATCTGATAGACCAAGATGACGAAGAAAGCGTGGTGAGGAAAAGAGATAGAGACAAGAGGGAGCCTTCGCAACGCAGTCAGCCTTGACACAGGCGTCAACCAGGAAGCATAAATAAAAGAAGAATGAGCAGAAGCATAGAAGAAGCGGCAGTAGGGTTTAGATGAGATGATGTGACATGCAGAAAGGGAAGAGGCAGGTCGGCGGACAGTGGCAACATGCGAGCGAACCCAAGTGTGCAGACGGGCAGGAGAAGAGAGCAGAGCAAAACTAAGTAATGTGCTTGGGAGAACTAGCAGGCCCCAATAGGCAAAGCAGGAAACAAGAGTCGAGTACATACGTGAGTACCTAGCCCAGCGCACAGGACCGCGGGGGCGTAGAGCAAGGTCGGACGGCGGCACTGGGAGGGGAGGAGATGGGGGGGCAGGATAGGGTAGTAGCACGGTAGGTAAGGTATGTAGGTATTGGTAATACCTATTGCGAGAAGGGAAGGGAGCCCTTGTGGGCGTGGAAGAGGCAAGGAAGGGACCCTGTCCGGTATGTTTTGGCGTAGGTAGGTACCTAGGTTGGGAGAGACGGGGAGTCGGAGCAAAATGTGTTGACCTGGGCTGCGCGGATCAGCGCGCGTCCCCGATCGCTGGGTTGACGTGTTGAGCCGCTGCCGCGCCAGGGCTCCAATAGGAGCAGGTGGGACGTTAGGTTGGGTGTGGGCGTGGCAGCATGTGATTGCATTTTGTGGGGGATGTTCATGCGCAAGGACGGCGGCGAAGACAGAGACGGCGCTGGGGACGGCGGCCATTGGGGCTTCCCACTGTTTGAACTTGCGGAATGGAGGGGGAGGGGAAGCAGTTGTGAGGGGAGGGCATTACTTTAGCGTAGCGTGATGGATGGGGTTGGGATACCTTACCTACCTACCTTACCTTACTATGCACCTACTATGTACTATGGTACAGGATGGGATGGGATGAGATGGGATGGGACGGCGGCGGCGGCCTCGAGTTCGTGATGGATTCGCCCAGCCCCAAGAGGCTCGCCGACCAACGCTAGCACACCCTAGGCAAGCCTGGCGGAAGCATCTCGATTAAGGGGACGGCCGTGACCATGGCATGGCACAAAGCCTCGATAACGGTAATGGCAAAGTACAAGCCGTTGTAAGGTACAGTACCTACCTTAGCTGTCCTTCTTTGATAGGTACCTAAGGTACCATACCTATCATGGGTGGACGTCCAAGCCCGAGTTGACCTATTCTTTCTGCAGGCAGGGTGTTGGGTGCCTTGCAGAACGTCCGTCTGCCTCCGGGTACCTATCGGGGCCACATGTAAGCTGGCCCGAGGCGGTGCCTTACACTTACTTGGAACCCGAGGCGAGGTTTCTCACGGGACTGTGTGTGGCTGCCATCCAAACACTCCTACCTTGGACGCTAGAAAACAAGCTGAAACTGTGGCATTCATCGTCATTCCCCAGCTCATCCGGATCGCCATGTTTTGTTTCCTGTAGTGCGGTGCAGTTCCTGTTTGTGGCTGGCCATTCTTCTCCCCATCCTTGCATCATCTGTGCGGCTCATCCAACCATTATTGCAGTACCCGCCTTGATGCTCTCCAGCATGCGTTCCTCCACGTTGTGTACCTAACCTATATAAGTGGGTAAGTGCCTATACGCTAGGCCTGATTATTTCTCTGCCTTCATGTGAATCTGTCATCCTTTTCTCGAAGGCCCTCTTATCTTCAAATACCTTGCTGTCCACGACGAGCCGGGAACAGTGCTATGAATAGATGCGCGCAGGCTAAGCCGTCAGATCATCCCGTCCAGTGTGGGTTGGGGGCAAGGGGGGGCCCATCAGCACTGATGGGCCCCCTTTTCCATGGATTGCTTTGTACTGCTCTACGGATATTCTAGTACTCGTACCTTTGGTGGAAATAAGCTGCAGCTGATTAGATGCCATGGCACCTAACAGCCAATGAGGTGCCACAAATGGCCGGCCTGCAAAGGCGGAGGATGGCAGACATCTGCAGTCGGCTTTGGTGGTAAGGTATTTGGCGATGCATTCCGACAACGCTCAATGATGACGGCAGGGGCTGATGGCCATGGTGGGGGGCACCTTCATGCCTACCTTAGGTACTGCGGTAGGTTCAGGGCCCCGACACTGGAGGGCGCAGTTGACCATCTCAGAACCCGGCAAGCGAGCTGCGACCTGAGGCACCTAGGCACTTAGAGGCTCCCGTCACACCTCCCCGCCAGCTTGGAAGCTCAGCACAGCTCTACTCAGCTCAGCACGACACAGCACAGCACCAGGGTTCAACATCCAGTCCCCGTATTTGTACCCAAGGTACGGTTACCGTACCTGACCAGGTTGCCTGAGATCTGCGATCCAATGTGGATGTCGCCCAGTCCGGCGGAGAGGGGACCAAGTCTGCAAACATCGCGTCAATAAACCACAACATCTCCCCCCTTCTCGCTTCTTTCGCCTTCTACTTTCCTCCCATCCTCTTTAACAGCCCCTCCATCGCGTGACCTTCACCGCTTCGCTGTCTTGTTCCTCCGCTGACCCAACAACGTCTGCTTCTCGACTGTCTGTTCCTCCCCCAACGAAATTCGTCACCGCTTCACTCGTCTTCCACCAAGCCCTCAACTCTCGCAGCATAACTTCGATTTCGATCCAATCCGATCACTGTCCCCCTGCTATCGAGGCCGAGTCTCCGGAGGTTGCAACGCGCAGAAGCTCCTTCACAATGGCTGAAACGGGCCTCTTCTCCGATAACCTCATCTCTCCCGCTGTTGCCTCTGCGCTGCCCGAAGGCTACGTAGTTCGCGCTCTTCGCCTCTCCGACTACAATGCTGGCTTTCTCGACTGCCTCCGCGTCCTGACCACCGTCGGTGAGATCAGCGAGTCCCAATTCGCCGAGCGCTACAACTGGCTATCCAAGAGCGACGGTTACTACATCCTCGTCATTGAAGACACAAGCAGGAAAGCCGTTGTTGGAACCGGTGCCTTGATTGTCGAGCGCAAGTTGTGAGTTGTATCCGCCGCCTCGCAGCTCCGCGCTTGCCGCAGAAGATTATTGCTGACCGCACATTTCCCCTCCGCGTAGCATTCACAGCCTGGGTCTGGTTGGCCACATCGAGGACATTGCCGTGGCAAAGGACCAGCAAGGGAAGAAGCTTGGTCTGCGTATCATCCAGGCCCTTGATTTCATAGCCGAAAAGGTCGGCTGCTACAAGAGTATTCTCGATTGCAGCGAAGCAAACGAAGGCTTCTATGTCAAGTGTGGGTTCAGGAGAGCCGGCCTGGAGATGGCCCACTACTACGAGGGAGACAAGAGTAAGGCCCAGTAGCCTGCCACTTTCCTATTCATGACTCCAATCGCCGACATCTTGGGGTGTCATGTTGCGTCGTTCCGCGCCGTGCAGTCTCTTCGCTGGGATCGAATCAACTTGACGCGCCTTGTCAGTGCAGCCCGGCTCATTACCCCGTTGTGCCAAGGCGAACTTGGATTGCATCGGTGACTGCTGATGATGGGTTCCCGCAGGACTGAAGCTCTAGATCATGCGAGCACCGAACTTGCTTCGGTGGATGACGACATCGACAAGTAAGAGCGACAGAGACATAGAAACGATAGATGCTCGCTCACGGATCATGCCTTCCTTAGCCTCGTGTGTTTACCTAATACTACTATTAGTTGCAATCCCTTGGCTGCAGCGCAATGATCAAAACAAGGTAAACCGCACATCAGCTGGTCCCGAACGCGCTACCTCAAGCGCTTCTAGCCCGTCCGTTCCTACCTTCGGATGACTGCCACACTGCCTCACTGTGACTCTATGTGAGGAACCAACATGCACTAGCTGCTCGCAATGAGTGGCTGGTCTTCTCACGTACAGCCCGTCGTAATACGCAATCAGCCAGACCGCTGCCGTGTACTGGCTGCTTCAGACAGGATTGGCCCTACCGTCCACGGATGAGGTTGCCTACCCACGCACCAAGACCACCTTCAGGGTCTAGCCGTTGTGTCTGTCTGTCGCAGCTGGTCGGGGCGTCCACCATCGGATCTTGGTCGAAGAGCGCTGTGCCCCGCGTTTCACTTGCCATGAGTCGGATCAGACTCACCAGAAATGCCATGTACAAACAGGAAGGCACAGCAGCGTCGCGCAGACAGCGTGTTGAACATGGTTCACTCGGCACCTCAACTGCGCTTGCTTTTTTCTTTCCTTCGCGTGTGGTGGTTTGAGAACATTTACTCAAAGCTCACTCGAGGACAGTGAGATCCAAAGACACAAGGACAAAGGACTGTTGGGTCCGGATCCGGCTGAGAAACACAATGCACCAGTCCGGGGGATCTCCGTCATCAACCCATTTTCCCGCTTCCTTCGGAGCTCCCGTGCTTTTGTCCACCACCTTGGACGCCTGAAGAATCTGACGTACCATACCTGACACTTCTGGGCTTGCACAATTGTCAGAGTCAAGACCTGAAGCGCCTCACAGATCTTCACATGCGTGGCCAAAGCGCTGTCCGTCGCAGATGAGCTGACGGAACCCATCCTGATCGATGCGCCGCCTGTCCCGTTCGTATAAGACGTGCGCCGGTCTCCGTGTCCCCTTTATTGGTCTCACGATCGGACAACGGATATCCCCAACTACAACAGTCCGAGAAGCCACTACCGAAGTATATCAAGCCTGCAAGTCCACCCCTTAAAACTCCGAGCGCGTTTTCATTGGATCCCGAAAAAGCGACTGCAGATCGAACGTTTTCCTACTTAAATTAGCTCTTTGCGCCTGTTTTTCTGGTCTGGTTTCCGTCATGATTGAAGACTTGCATTGTGCCATTGCTCGCGTGCGAATTGCTTCACTACAGTCAGAGTAAGTCTTCTGCATATCCAACGCCGGCAATCGACCCCGGCTACTGACAGGCACGGCCCATTGATGTTGTAACTCACGAACTGTAGGGTCATTAATAAATCGGCCAGTCGCGAGGTCGTACGTCGAAGAAGCAACAAAGTGAAACCCATCTTCATCGCCAAGGGTCGACCACCACTTTTCACGAAGCAAAGAACCGTCCGCGTAATATCTTGAAATTAATCCAACATGTCGCCGCACAAGCTTCCTGAGATGGATGGTAAGCGGCAATGGGTGATGGGCACTGAAGCCTTCGAGCGCAAGATGCCTCATCACCAGGGAATCAAGGCTCTCTGGGAGACCAAATGGAAGTTTCCGGTACGCTCCCGTGGCAAATCGTCAAAAGCCTCAGCCGCTGACCATCATAGTGCACCAAGAGCGTCTACCCTTTCCATGACGGACAGTATGAGGACTTTGAGCCCATTTTCGAGCACTTGATCAAGGTATGTTTACTAGATATCGTGACCTTCAAATTGTGACGGAGATTTTAGGAAAACATCAATGACGGAACTTCTACTGCATACACTGAGGCCTTCTTTCCGATCGCAGAGGCTCTGACAGCCAAAGGCGACAGGGCGGCGGCTGCAGGCAAGAAAGACGAAGCCAGCGATCTGTATCTCCGAGCATGCACCGTGTACCGCATAGCGCGGTTCCCATACATCACGGCGTACCCTGAAGTCAGCTGCCCAGTCAAGTGGAAGGCGTGGGAGGCTCAGAAAGAGGTTTACATGAAGGCGGCCCAGTCATGGGATTGCCCCCTCATTGACATCTCCATTCCGCACAAGCATGCCAAGGGTGGTGACCTAAAGTCCATTCCGTCCTACGTCAGAGTTCCTCACGGCGCCTCCAAGAGTAAGCCTAGCCCAGTCGTCATTCTGATGACTGGTCTTGACGGCTACCGTCCTGACAATACGGTTCGCTCAAATGAGTTCCTCGCGCGCGGCTGGGGAAGCGTGATTGTCGAGATCCCCGGAACCGCCGACTGCCCCGCTGACTCCGCCGATCCGGAGAGTCCTGACCGTTTGTGGAGCAGCGTCCTAGACTGGATGGCTGCCGATGGCCGCTTCAACATGGATAGGGTCCTGGTTTGGGGCCTTAGCTCCGGCGGGTACTACGCCATTCGCATCGCGCACACTCACAAGGACCGTCTGATCGGATCGATTGCGCAAGGAGCCGGTTGCCATTATTTCTTCGACCAGGAATGGTTGGAGAAGGCTGACGGACACGAATACCCGTTCTTGTGAGTGGACAGACGTATCAAACATTGCGAATGTTGAGACTGACGAGGCATAGGCTAACTCCGGCGATGGCCATGAAACATGGCTACAAGACGGTTGCTGAATACAAGGCGGGTGTGCAAAAGAAGTTCTCTTTGCTCGAAACCGGGATCATCGATAAGCCGTCCAGCCGTTTGTTGTTGATCAATGTACGTCCACACACTTTGCCGGAGAGATCTCTTTGACTAACGAAATCAGGGCACACTTGACGGCTTGATGCCTATTGAAGACTCGATGATGCTATTTGAGTACGGTACGCCTAAGGAGGCCAGGTTCTTCTCGGGAGCCTTGCACATGGGATACCCCATGGCCAATGCATCCGTGTATCCTTGGATGGAGAGCGTCATGGACAGCAAGATGTAAATACGGCTACTGCATCGCTGGCTGCAACAAGAACACTCAATTTAATGCGCGCACACCAGAAACTTGTCGTCAGCGAGAATGGTGATTACAAGCGAAAGTGAACGGAGTGTTTTCTGGATGTTTTTCCTTCTTTCCCTTTGTTCAATCACCTTCAATTAAAAATTTGTTTTCGTGCAGTGGCCGTATGCTTATCGGCCCATCCAGCCACCGTCAACGACCAAGACGTGGCCGCTCACGTAACCGCTGGCTCTGCTGGAAAGGTAGACTGAAGTGCCCTTGAAGTCATCAGGCGTGCCCCAGCGACCAGCGGGGATTCTCGCACTGATGCTGGCCAGTCTCTCCTTGTCGTTGAGCAGGGCCGTGTTCATCTCGGTCTCGATGTAACCGGGCGCGATGGCATTGACTGTGATGCCCTTGGAGGTCCACTCGTTGGCGAAGCTCTTGGTCAGCTGGGCAACAGCGCCCTTGGAGGCGGCGTAAGCCGGGACAGTGAAACCGCCCTGGAAAGAAAGCAGGGAGGCGTAGTTGATTACACTGCCTTTGCGGCCGGTAACGGGTGAAGGCTCGAGATTGAGCATGTGGGCGCCGACGTCGCGGGTCAGGGTAAAGACGGAGTTGAGGTTTACTTGGATAACCTGCGTTGGCGGGCTCCATTAGCTTCCAGACATGCACCGAGGCGATTGCTTCGCTCAGTTGACTTACGGCATTGAAATCATCATCAGGAAACTTCTCGCACGGATGGCGCTTCTGGATGCCGGCGCAGTTGACGAGGATCCGGATCTGGTGGCCGTCCTTGAGAACTTTGGGTACGAGAGCAGCAACGCTCTGTTGTGAGCTGAGATCTGCCGTGTAGATCTGAGCCTTTCGGCCTAGCTTCAGAATTGAGTCTCTGGTGGAGGTGTTAGACTCGTCGCGCTGAACGAGAAGAACGTCTGCTCCGGCCTCGGCGAGACCAATGGCGACGGCGGCACCAATGCCCCGAGTGCCTCCAGTGACGAGGGCGGTGTGGCCCTCAAGGGAGAAGAATGGCGAGGCCATGGTGTAGATTACGGTATATGCGTTTTGCGGGTATCACGAAAATCTTGGGTGGGAAGGGGGGAAAAATGTGCTGAGAGCGTGTCCAACGAGGGGTATTTGAGTGATGAGAGGCTTTACGCAGCACACTCAGCTAGCTTGGGGGTGGGGGGATGAAGAAGATGAATGCGACTTTATTGGACGAAGGGGCGGCGTCGTGTAGGTAGGCAGCAGGGTCAATGGTCTTCGGGCAAGTTAATTCAGACAGTAACTGATGGGGATTCACTCACAGTGGAAGCTTGGATGAGCTTGTGACGATGGCCGCGAGGTGGCCCTGACGGGCCATGCTTGGACGGAAGAAAGGTCGGGTTACTCGCCTGTGCCGGGGTGGTTAACGGATTCAAGCGACGTTTATTTCTAGAAGGAGCTGAAGGCGACGGATTAGCTCGGTGAATGGGTGTGACGGCTAGAGATGGTCATAACCCGCGGAATGGGTCATGATTCAACAACACGGCATGAAACATGTACACTGTACATGAGCAGCTTGCAGCAGCTAACGTTGAAGTCAAGACTACAACAGTCGTTACCCCTCAGCTGCGGGGACCCGCGACAGCAGGGGTCGTCTCCAACCACATCGCCCTGTGACGTCGTTTGGTTTGGGCAATGCGCTTGCAGTTTTTCTTGTCGTCGACATTTGTTTACTGTGGGAATGTCTCATGAGCACGCGGCATAGTGAACGAGTCGGGGTAATTACCAGAGCTGGGTTGCTCCTGATACCAAAGATTGTGCGAAGCCCCGCGAACACCATCACACGGCTCGATTGACTCGGCTCTGGTCAAGTGGGAATTGTTTTTTCCCCCCCAAGGCAGGTGCATGGCTCTCCGGCCCCCCACGTAAGGATGTGACGGGCTGCCCGGTCTGCTCCCCGCATATCGGAGCTTCAGAGCGGGGGAAACACAAGAAACCGTCAACGGCAACTGTCGGTCATGGTCCGTTACAATTTTTGTGCTTTTCAGCAAAGCCAACAGAAGCCGAGTCTTGTGCGAATCACCGGCGGTCTAATTCTTGTCAGCATCAATCCAAGACGCGACGAGCTCTGGGCTACCCTGAAGCAGGCAATGGAACGCAACATGGAAGGCATGTTCACTGACCTGGCGCAAAGCTTTAGGACATAATTGCCCTCTTGGGTCTTCGCGGCCATTTTCTCCAGCTCAAGCGTCGCCTCGAACGCCGCTACCTGAGGGTACGCAGTAGACCCTCATGTTTCGGCGTGCATTGCCTGGAATGGATGGGGGTCAGTTCTCCACGAGCACTTACCCCTCCCCCTCTTCTTCCCCTCCACTAGGTCCCGACTCCCAGCACATACTATGCAGTACCTACTTACTGTAAAGTAAGGTAAGGTCAGGTATTCACGATAGCTTCCTCGTCTTCGCTGCCGGACAGAATGCCGAGCCAATGACCACACCTACCTAGCGCAGTGTTCGACTGGCCTTGACCAAGTTCCACGTCTCCACCACTCCACACAAACTGGGTTTATGACTGCGGTGTGTCTGCGTCCCTGCTCTCCCCAACACTCTCTCCCCACTCGTACCCAGTACTTGTGCCTGTCGCCGTACTCCCCACGTCCGAGGGGCTAGTGTGGTGTCGTGGTCGACGCTGTGTCTGAGAAGTTGGGGAGCGATTCGGCGGCAGTTCTTGTACTCGAGCTTCAAACACAACTCGGCCTTGGAATCCCGTAACCCTCGGCCTTGCTCCCCCACTGACAAGTGAATTGCCTCCTCAGCTTCTCGACACGAACCCGCATTTCCGACCTGCATCGCTCCGCTCGTCGCGTCCGCCTCCAATCGCCCCCTAGCGTCGTGCCCGTCTTTTCAATCGTGTTCTCCGATCCGTCGACATCGGACCTGTCGCCGTGTTCCCTGAATCCCTCATCGCCTCGGCTTTTCAACAAAACAATCAGATAATTGCCCCCACTACCCTCGCACTTCTGTGCCTTTCCAACGTGCTGCTACTGCTGCTTCTTTCTGTCGTCTCTCCAAGCCTGATTGCCTCCACTTCACGTATCCATCTTCAATCTAATTACTATCCTCGCCGCCATCGTATAAGGGCGCAATCATCATGTCCAGCGTTCAAGTTCAGACCTCCGTCCTCCACGGCGCGAGGGATCTCAAGATTGTCAGACATCCCCGTCTCAGCTGACAATCGACATTCTGAAGGCTAATTGGCGCAGGAAGAAAGAGCTCTGCCTGCTCTTGCAGCTGGCGAGGTCCAAGTCGCTGTCAAGGCTACGGGACTCTGCGGTTCCGACTTGCACTACTACAACCACTTCCGCAACGGCGACATTCTCGTCAAGGAGCCCCTTACTCTTGGCCACGAATCTAGCGGTATCGTTACTGCCGTCGCCTCTGATGTCACAAACCTTGCCGTCGGAGATCACGTTGCGCTCGAGGTCGGCCAGCCATGTGAGGCCTGTGACCTGTGTGCCGTTGGGCGATACAACATCTGCAAGGGCATGAAGTTCCGCAGCTCTGCCAAGGCCTTCCCTCACGCTCAGGGAACTCTTCAGGAGCTCGTCAACCACCCTGCCAAGTGGTGCCATAAGTAAGACATAAAACCCGTGACATTGAAAGGTCTAGAGGGCTACATGCTAACGCGAGACGGCGCAGGCTCCCGCAAGAAGTTTCCCTCGAGTTCGGTGCTCTTGCCGAACCTCTCTCTGTTGCCATGCACGCCCGGGACCGAGGCAACCTCCCTAGCGGGTCGACCGTCCTTGTCTTCGGCGCCGGTGCTGTTGGTCTATTGTGCGCCGCCGTCAGCAAGGCTGATCAGCAGAAGGTCGTTATTGCCGATATCCAAGAGGACCGCGTCAAGTTTGCCCTTGACAACGGCTTCGCCGATGCTGGCATTGTCGTTCCGGCCAAGCGCCCTCAAACGATCGAGGACAAGCTGGCCTACGCCCAGGACGTCGCAGGGTTGGTAAAGGCCGCCAAGATCAACGGAAACGAGGTTGGCGAAGTCAACGCGACTTACGAGTGCACGGGTGTCGAGACCTGCATGCAAACATCCATCTATGTGAGCATCCTCAGTCTAGGCCACATAGCTTTTCAGCGCTAACTTATGTACGCAGGCCACTCGTCCCGGTGGCAAGATCCTCATTATCGGCATGGGCACCCCAATCCAGACTCTTCCCATTTCCGCCGCCGCTCTGCGAGAGGTTGACTTTGTGGGCGTCTTCCGCTACGCCAACACATACCCCAAGGCCATCAACCTGATTGCAACGAAGCCAAAGGGTCTGCCGGCGTTGGAGAAGCTGTTTACACACCGTTATAAGGGACTGGGCACCATCAAAGATGCGTTTGATATGGCGGCCAAGGTGAAGGATGAAAGCGGCAACTTGGTATTGAAGGTTCTTGTGGACACATCTAATTAGAGACTGAAAATAAAAGTATAGTTTTGGATTTGCGTATTGCACTTGGTAGCATTCACAAGGGTGAGTGAATATCCTCATTCACGCAAGTTAAGCAATATCACCATTGCCTGTGGGAAAGTGATTGCCGTAACAGAGGTCTATGCTGATGGCTTGGTAGAGACCGCGTAATTTCCCCATGTTTGTGCGGCTACATTTCGTGCGTACTAAATTATTACTATTGAAGACGGAAGTAGAAGTAGTGAAATAGTACCAACGACAACAGCGCGATGGTGAGGTAGAGTGTATTACTACAGAAAAAGAAGTCGTTCTATCTCAAGAAAAATAGGAGGTCTCGCTTGGTATCATTTGGTAACCCAGACTGTGACTTGACGCCATCGCGAATTTCTGCGCGCACAATTTCTTATGACTTTCGACGTCACAGTCTCTTTGGGTTTATTGTTTCAGTTTGCGCTCTAAATTATTCTATTCATTTATTTCATATGCAAACTGTGGGCATTATCCTAAGACTTGTCGGGGAATCCAAAGTCAATGCCAAATGGCGGGTAGACGTAACGCTTCAGCTCCTTCTTGGCCGTAAGATCATCTGAGTAGGCGCGAAGCTCCTTCATGTCCTCGTCGTCGAGCTTGACAATTTTGAGGTTGGCCTTGATACGGGCGGGGGTGACGGACTTGGCGATAACAGTGCTGCCACGGGCGACTGAACAGAACAGAAAGATTAGCAGACTGGAGTAAAAGCAGGAGCTGGACTCGTGGGCATACCGTGGTAGCTGAGGAGAACTGTGGAGGCGCTGACGCCGCGCTTCTCGGCAATCTTCACAACGGGAGCCGCGCTCATAAGAGGCCCACCGGTAGAGCCGAGCGGGCTGTAAGCCATGATGTGGATGCCCTTGTCCTTGCAAAAGTCGACGATCTCCTGCTGGGGAAGGCTGGGGTGGTTCTCGATCTGATTGACGGCGGGAACGACCTTGGCATGGGGGAGGAGCTCCTCGAGGTATCTCACGCTGTACTGTATGGTTTGTCAGTACATTGAACAATGGGCCTCTTGTCAGGCCTTGGGCAAACAAACTCACGTTGCAGACACCAATAGAGCGAACCTTGCCGGTATCAAGGAGCTTCTCCATGGACTTCCAGGTGTCGACGTGGGAGAAGTCCCGGAGGATGTCACGGCTGCCATCGGGCTTGGTGGGGAACCTGTCGTGGTTTCCTGTGAGGCGCTCATGTTAGTTGGTCAATAGCTCCGGAAACTTCGTCGATGAATCGTCGACGAGGTTGAGAAAACGAACATACCCTCGGGGTTCATGGCAACGGGCCAATGCTGCGCATCCTGTCAGTTTCAACGCGACCAAGGCATTATACAGGTGGCGGCAACCTACAACAAGGAAGAGGTCAACGTAGTCGAGACCCAGGCTCTTCAAGCTCTTCTCCAGGCCAAGCTTAACTCTCTCGTCGCTGGTGGTGTAGGTGGCCCACAGCTTGGTGACAACGTAGATGTCCTCACGTTTGACGCCATTGGCAAAAGCCTCCTTGAGGCCCTGGCCAACCTCGTCCTCGTTGGCGTAGCAGTAGGCGCCATCGATGGCCTTGTAGCCGATCTTAAGAGAGTATGAGACGGCCTCCTTGACCTCACCGGGAGCAGACTGCCATGTGCCTTGAGGGGTCTACATCAGCCAATGAGTAGGAGGACGAAGAGGTTTGCATGTCTTACCCAGAGCGACGGCGGGGATCTCGTGTCCCGAGTTGAGCTTGAACGTCTGCGCAGCCATGGTGATCTTTCGGAAGGATGATGGGTATCGAGGTTAACCAAAATGATCGTGGTTCGAAAGGTGGGGGCGGGGTAGTTTGTGTATGGTATTTCTACTGCGGGAGAGGAGGACAGTCAATGGGAGGAGGGGGTTTGAGACGTCACTCACACAGCCCGGGAAAAGGCGTGGACTCTCGGTATATATATCGTCTGCACCCCGAAATGGAAATAAATGTAATCAGGGTTCTGCGTCGCGGTGCTTGACCACAGCCGGGTAAATGCTCGATAAACAGGAGAGCTATCTCTCACCACACGCCCCTCCCTCTGCATCGTCTCCTCGCAGCCAAGGTGCCCGTGACGGGGCCGCGATTTGCATGTCACACTCGGGCTAGGATGCTACGGCCACCGGGTCTAGCTGCTCTGGCAGCTGTATCTGGGGTGTGGACTTCCCCGGGTTGTCCAACTTTGTGCTGTTCCCCTCGTCTCCAGTGGGCCATGGGAGTTCCATTCATGGATAATTCGTTAGTCAACGAGGGTATGCCTCGGGCAGTTTTGGGCCGAGTCATGAAGACAGGACCCGCTATTTGGCTTGGTTTTACATACCTCACCTGGTGAGTGCAACTGACTGTGCAACTGTGACACTGTGGGCGATGTCGTGGTTCGTGTGGTTGTTAAGCCGCGGGGCGGCGGCGGATTTCCGGCGGGTCTCGTTGATAGTTGCCTTTTTTTCTGCTGCCTCTCTGCGGTAGGTGCTGGCTTCCGCTTGAGGCCCTCCACCTAGTGCGGGAAAACATTCCGGGACCAACCCCGAGCCCACGCCTCTTCGCACCGGCTGCCTGAGCACAGTGTGGATGCCATGAACCAGCAGACCAACAAGTGTGAAATGTAGGTACTCTGTACCTGTACCCTGCCATTCAACTGCAGGTGCAGCCTGTCCTCGACGGGAACCCACCCCGACGATGATCCCAACCACATGTATTCAGCAATCTTTGGCTGAGGGACTTGGCCAAGGCATCTACATAAATGCATGGAGCACCCCAAACGCATAGAAGGGGTGCTAACACACTGCAGATGGCAGCTCTTACTATTCGCCGAAGTTAACCTCTTTCGTGATTAATAGATCTAATATGCAAGGAAGAAGCTCTATAGCTGCGCCGCGCCGTCGTCCCATGGTCAATGTCAATGTCCACATCAATGTCATCGTACAATTAGCGGTACCCTATCCGCTGTGGTGTTACAGAAGCCAATGCTCTTTCAACTTAACTCCCCAAACCGCCGTCAATAATTGCCTCTCAGCCGGCAATGAGCACCCAAAGCCTATCCATTGGTCAGCTAATCTACAAATTATGGCGTAACGAGGCCGACGACTTACAGAAAGAAGATCATGAGAACGCCGAACATTTTCTGGTCACCATGTCAGCAAGATCGACGAAACCGACCAGCGGACAGAGTCACATACGGCAATCAACCACCTGTTGCTTGAAACACGGCCCCAATACTTGAGAAGCTCTACAGTTCGAGTTAGATTCCGCACAAACGGATTAGTAGTCTGTGGGCATTATCGCCTACCTCGTTGCGCCCCTTGGACGTTGTCGACCACGTCTTCCGTGTTGGCATCGATGCGCTGGATCATCTCGCTCTGCTCCGACACCATGGTTGCCAGTTGTCCGAAGATCTGCACGCGAGGGTTAGTCTATGATGCTCGGGAGTACGACGCCCCATGGGGGGTGCCAGCTTACAGATCCAAGCTCGGCAATCGTGGATTCAATACTCTCGATAGCTGCGCCTCTCTCCTGGATATATGTGTTTTGTGGTTGCGCCTCCTCCATCAGGAGCAGCTGCTGATCCCCGGGGGGGTTCAGCGAGAGGAGGTCGGCTCCAGGTGAGGGTGTTCCTCGTTGCGGCGTGCCATACAAGGGCGATGCCGATTGCTGTAGCGGCGGCTGCGCATGCTGCGAAACGCTCGAAATAAACTAAAGACGCATTCATTCGTTAGATCCGGCGTCAATCGTACTGGAGGCAAAGGATCAACGCACGTTATCTGTCCGTGATCTGGACGCCTGGATGTTCTTCGTTCTCTCTTCCAAAACATCCTTGAAGTTGGCGGAAACGTCTGTCAGCTTGCCCTGAAGCATGAAAACAACGTTCTTGTTGTGCTCTCCTTCCTGATCAGCCTTCGGGTGCTGCTGTCGGGTGAGGACCTGCAAGTTGCCAATCTGCTGGTTGAGGGAGCTCAGATCTTGCTTGATAATGTAGGTAAGTTCATTGATCTCCACCGGCCGGTCATCGAACAGCGTCCTGCGTCGAGCCACTGCGATAGTGAGAGTTAGTACGAAATCTGACCGGAGGATTCAAGGGAAACAGGTGCGTACACGTTGCTAGCTTTTCAAGCTTGCCCATAGTGGCAGAAATTCCCCTCCCGATTTGCGCCGCCTGTCGCGCAAACTCGGATCGCCTCGGCCTGGAGTCGCCATCGGCTGCAGCCTTCTGGGAGTCGGTCAAAAGCGATCGTTGCTGAGCACCAAGTTTGCTCGAGGCTTTGCGACGCTGCGCTTGCGCGAGAACCGACTGGAACTCGGAAGTTCGGTCCTGTATCGAAGCGACTGCCATCGTAGCTTCTATTTGGTCAAGGAGGAGGGGTTCGGACGGGGGCGACCAGCGCTTCGGAATCGGTGAAGAACTTTGTGCAAGATAGATTTTTGCCGTGTCGATGCTCGATACAGGGCCCGAGGTGGATAGGAGTTCAGGGGTGGGAGATTGGCAGGTCGATTCGAGGGCGGTTCGGGCACAGCGGGTGAGTCTCTAATGGCGGACAGCGCTGTTGGGCAGGTAGTTGTACAAGAAAACGAGGCAAGACGGTGCGATGGGATGCGATGCAACACGAGACGCGCGACGAGGCCAGTTGTCGCGACTTGGTCTAAGCGGATATCTCGACGTAGGTTGTGCGGAATACAGGTTGGCCGTAGTTGTCGTCTGTCAGACTTGGAAATTCAGAGTCCGGAGCGTCAGTCTGCTGCAGTCGGAGTGACGGGGCCAGGGTGTCCGATCCAACCGCCAACGTGGTTTTTTGTTTCGGAACAGAGGCTGGTCTGCAGAGCGCAATTAGAGCGCGCGGCGCACGTGTGGCTCGTACCTTACAGCGTTCCATTATCTGGCGTTGGACCTTCGCCTTCGGCGTCCTTTTAGCGCCTCATTTGGCACCACCTACCTCAGGCTACCTACACTACTCTAGGTAGGTACCTTAGGGTGGTAGGGACGAATTGATAGGTAAACTTTCTCCAACCTAGTATTACGCACGCACCGCCACATCTAAAAATGGCTGCACGGACCGAGGTGATCCACATTGTGAGATGAACCGCCGTCCATGACACCATGCAGCTAGGTACGATGAGAGTTCAAGAGCAATCGTGAATGGTGTAGAACCAACCCGCTTACGCCGTACAATGCGTGAAATGAGGCAGTCCGCTTAGTGTGTACAGCAGGCAGCATCGCGGTACCGTGCTGAGATGCAAGTTCGCAAATGAATGTATGCAACGGCTGCGCACCTTTTCTGCTACTTACTACCTTATCTGTAAAGAATGGTGTTGATAGTTTACTAGCGGCGTGCCATGGGTATTCCATGCCACGGAAATACAATGCCAGCCCGCCGTGAGCTACAGACGGGAGTAGACTCTGTCCGCCCCCGTTTGCCGTCCAGTCTGAGCAGATACCTTAGCATGCATAGCCGCGCTTCCGCCCTCACCCATCACTCACCCATCACAGATCACGCACACAGACGGGCGGACAGGCACCACCGCAATGCCATGCCACAATGCCTCGCTCACCCCTCGTGATTCTTCGCTGCGTAGCATTCCGCCGTCTGCCTGCCTGCGTTTCCTGTAAGTGGATGGGGCGTCCTCGGGCTGCCATTGGAAAGACACCCAGGCTGATCCCCTCTTTTTGAGCACGGCCAACGGCTCCATCCTTTGATGCCCCGAGTATTCGTCCACTACAGATTCGCTGCAGAGTGACATCGAGTCATACTGGCACAGGGATATGACAAGTACATCACGCCAATACGGATTGCGAAAATATGCAGCCCAGCCCAGCCCAGCCCAGCCCAGTCCAGCTGAGAGGCCAACTGGCGGCGTCCGCACTCTGCGCTGCGTTGCGCTCTGCCTTACGTTCCTCAATGGCTTGACGGGGAATAATCGTAGGCTGGTAAGGTGAGAGTAATAAGCTAAGGTCCGCTCCAAGCCACCTCCCCAACAAGCCCCAAATTATCGTCCGTCTAGGGTCTAATCGTACTTCTCCAGCAAAAGTTGCGGCCGGTCAGACTGGCGAACTGCACCAACAACATCCACCGAGCCCTGACCCATTCAAGGGAGTGAAGCGACTGTCCAGTCTTGTCTGGACTCGGATCTCTGCCGTCTTCTTGCTGGCCTGCCCCGAGGCTCGTCAACTTGTCCTGTTGTTCAATCAAATCACGTCGGCCATCCCAACCCGAGGCTGTAGACCATCTCCATTCCCAGTCTCACCCGATCAGTGCCCCATCGAGTGAACCACCGATCGCAGCCGTGCGCCTAACGGTTTTCACTCCCGAGTCGCCTCGCTGCCTCGGATCAACCGTCACCAGACAGGCTTTTGGCAGAGATATGTGGCGATTGACGCTCTTGTCGCGATTACTTTGACAACGCGATGAGCGGCCCGTACAACTATGGCTTCAGGCCTCCTCATGGACAATCGCCTCTGTAAGTTCTCTCCAGCTATGCACTTCTCAAGGCATAGATGCAGGTGCTAATCTCAGTAACCCTCCAGAAGCCCCGAGACGCCGACGAGTGCATACAAGACCAATTTGGGCAGGAAGAAAACTAAGAAATGGGTTGAGGCCAAGGCACAGAACTACGACGGCGATGACTGGGGTAACGACTTTGACGACGAGGAGCCCGAGGAACCGATTCCTGTCCCACCTCTCAAGCCTGCCTCTCGTCAACCGAGTCCTAGCCAGGCAACAACTGCGAATCTACCGTCGAACCTACCGTCACACCAGCCACCGGCGCCTCAATCCGCGGGACTGCCAACGATGCGACCGCCGCAGCCGGCCTTGAACGAGTCGGGATTATCCACCAGCCCTCGGGCCACGGCAGGCCTACCGCCTTTGCAAATCCAGACTCCGTCATCACCCGCGCCTGCGCCTGCGCCTGCGCCTGCGCGCTCCGAACCGCAAAATGTTCAACCTCCGATTGTTTCGGGGCCGTCCTCCATGGACAGTGTTTCTGACAAGGGCCCTTATGAGCAGTTCGTGTCGCCGCAATCTGCTCATACTGGCCCAACACCGGAGCCCTCTCTCGTTCGGAACGAACAACCGCAAAGTGTGATACCTCAGAATGGCGGCCGACGAACTTCACCAGCGCCGGCGCAACCGCAATCCACCCGATTCCCACCTCGCAAGAGCAGTATGGGCCAACATGACAGTGATCGCCTTCCTAGTTCTCGGTCAAGCTCCACTCATCCTCCACAGGTCGAGCAGCGCTCGGGATCTCCTTCCGGTATCATATCGCCTGGCGCGTCCTCGACTTCGAAGCCGTCTTTTGTTCGACCCTCGGATATCTATCGCCGCGTCGACAATGAGAAGGATAAGGAACGAGGTTCCATGGACTCGGGACGACCCAGTCTGGATAGCAGCGGCGGCTTCAAGACCGACCGCTCGCTTTCTCCCGCCAAGCCATCCCCTGCTGACACTAGGAGTGACGAACAAGTGAGTGGCAGCAGCTTGGGAAAGCCTGAAGGAGAAGATGCAATCCAAGGCAATCTGCGACCGACCCTAGCGCCTGTTGCAGAGAGAAAGAGCGAATACGGCTTCGACAACGTGCTTATGCGACCCCAAACCCATGCCCAAAATCAGACAATGCCCCCAAGTTCTGAAAGTCCCAACCTGGGCATTCCAGCGCCCGCGCCTGAACCTCAGATTGAACGTCCTAGTGAGGAAGAGGTTGCTCAACAACGCCGCTACTCGTCCAGTCCACGTTTGCCAGACCTGGCTCGCATGTCTCTGTTCGGGGACGATTTCTTTTCTAACCCCGGTAAATTTGCCGACGATGCACCCCCAATGCCTGCGTTGACGCCACAACTTCAAGCAGCAGCGGCGGCGTCAGCACCACAACATGTTGGAAATCCGCCGGCTGCTCCTGTTGCATTATCGACCGGGAGCTCAACACCCCAACGAGCCGACTCCCCTCGAGTGTCTGAGCAAATTCGAAAGGATTTAACTCCGCCGGCAGAGGTTCCTCGAAATCAAGAAAACGTAGATTCCGCCAAATCGGATCTGGCATCTCTGCCATCGCGGCCCTCTCTTCCTGGCGGCTGGGTCACTGAAACTAGATCAGTCACCGAAGAGCAGACGCCGCCTGCTGTTGCAGAGAAGAAGACCCTGGGCGTTGATCCTGGCGAAGTTTCCCCGATCTCCGACAACGAGCACGACGAAGTCCCAGGCAGCGGTGTCACAATTGTGAAGGGTGTGGCGTCGATGCCGATACCCATCTCTAATGCATCGGGGCAACCAATGCCTGCCTCAAGCCAAGCCAGTGAGGAAAGCCACTCGGCCGACGCTCCCGTTCATCCCTTGGCTCCGTTGAATGCCGGGCACTCGGATTCTTCTTCATCGCGCTTCGTAGCACCTGAGAGATTGCAGCGCGAATCTACTATGAGCACAGTCACTTCACCGTCCCCTGTCAAAGAGAGCGACAAGCTCCGGGAGGAAATTATGCGGAGCCTCAGTCCAGTCCGGCCTACAAGTGACTTCGATAGCTTTAACGGCAATCGAGCGGGACAGTCAGAGGAGGATACCGGCCCTCGCGAGAGCACATACCTGCACGGTGTCTATGATGATTATTGGACTGCAGGCGATGATAAGCCTGATGTACCCGAGCTCCCGGCGAAGCAGCCAGAGCTGGATGTTCATTCTGTTGCAAAACAGAATGTCTCCGATGTGCCTCCTCTGAGCCCTCGCAAGGAGAATGCAGGAACGCCTCCGACACTTGGTCGACGATTTTCCTGGGAAGCGGAATCGGAACAAGTCACGCCGGGCCCGGGTGATTTCCAAGAGAAACCCGTGTCAGACTCCCAGCCACAAGCTGCCCCTGTGGCTCCTGTCAGCTCAAGCTCACCTGCCCTTGGACACGAACAGTCTCCAGCGTTGTCGTCTGAAGAGACAAGGGACGCTGAGCAAACCCAGCCATCCACCAGCACTATGGACGAGACGCATATTGCAGTGCCAACAACTTCAGGCACGATGTCACACCAAGTGTCGCAGGCCAGCTCGGTGCCGAGAGATCGGCTGGACTCAGAGAATATTGAGCCTCCGTCGCCCGTGTCAGCCGTGACTGATAAGAACCACGCCTCGGCCGCCCCTCCCCGACGCCTGTCCCTCGCGGAAGAAAAGTCAATGGTTCGGGTTTCGTCCAATCCCGTGTCCCCCAGCCCACCGCCGGGCGAACACCCGGCGCTGGCTCGATCTTCGGAAGCGACATCGCCTCCGCCGCCTGCGCCTGCCGAGCCGTCCCAAGACCAGCCAGCCGCACCTCTTAAGATCATTAACTTCAAGGAGATCATGGAGATTCAAAACGCATCGGAGAGAATCAACAAGTACAACGAGACTAGAGCGCAATTTGCATCAATGGATTCGGGACTAAACAATTGGCTCGTCAACCTCAAGTCTCAGCATCCCGAGCACGCCAATGCAACGGCGTCATTCGCGGCCAACGCTTCAAACGTTAGCCAACCATCAGCATCACCAACAGCGTCCCAGCCAAATTCTCAACAGCCCTACTATCAGCAGTATCTCAACGCTAGCTCGACCAACGTCAGCACAGTAGCAGCCACAGCAACATCGTCGGGTCGTCCTCCCGCAGGCAGCGTATCCATGGGGTCCCATTCGCCTGGGAGCGATTTCAAGCATTCGAGTGGTCAAGTCGGGGCAAAGGGGAAGGGACTGTTGCTTGCGGCGGGTAAGGCGGGTAAAGGTTTATTGAGCAAGGGCAAGAACAAACTCCGTGGCACTGGGGACAAGGTATTTCTTTAACATTCCTCTCAATTGGGGCCGTCACATCACAGGGCATGCCTTTTTTTTTTCCCTCTAGCCGTCGGGATGGTCTAAAGGGGCTCGGTTCCCGTCTCTTCCCATTTGCTGTTTGTCTTCTCTCCTTCTGTTCCCCCCCTGGTACTCGCTCATGAGCCATGTGTCTCCCTTTCTGACCAGGATGACGGGACTGTATGAATTAAGGAATGCTACGACTCTTCAATTTTGCACGATCATGTAACCCCTGTGGTGCCCTCGGACATTTAAGACTCCACGTGGCATTTTGTGGTGATCATCTCTAATTGCTTGTTCTCCCACAGCGCGACTCTTCCCCCCCACCGGTCCAACCCCAGTCCAAGGCCAAACCAGAGCGGCGTACGTCATGGGGCATTAGTCTCGGAACCCGTTCATCACCCCGTGCGGCCAGTCATGCGCCTTCAGCATCGTTCTCGGGATCACTATCTGGCCCAGCTCCTGGTCCACAGACCATCCCGGAACATCCGGCATCTCAAACTCCACCGCCTCAACTACCCCAGACATCACGTATGTCCCCATTCGACGCCTTGACTCAGGAAAAACAGGCCTCGGCTTGGGCCCCACCCCGGCCTCAGACCCCTAAGCATCCCGCCGGTGTTCGCCGGGATACCGAGTCCGAGCCCGTCTCGCCCGTCTCGGATACCCAGTCCATGTCGGCCCCTAACCATCACGACAACGCCGACGATGCAGATGCCTTCGTTAACGGCACCGGCGATCTTCAGGTTCCAAGACCTATTGGCAAGACCCAACCGTCGTGGGATCCCTTTACAGGCACACCCTTGGTTGAAGAAGAAGGGTTTGAGATGGGGCAATCCAGGGATCCGAGTCCCCATGTTCAGCATGCGCCTCATGCTGCCCCCGCTGCGCAATTCCACTACGCTTCGACAACGAAGAACGCCAGAAGTGACGATGACTGGGTCGTCGTATCGCCGCAGTCAGCTCCATCTGAACAAGTTTATGTTTTGTCCCCCGAGTCGCCACAATTGGTGCGTTCATTCCAACCCACGGAGTCTAGTAGAGAGATCTTTGACAACGAAGATGAATCGGATATTGCTGCTGGCGATACTGCATCTTCAGATGCGCAACAGGTGTCACAGCAGGATCAAGATCATACGCATCGCAACACTCAACATCAAGTACTCCAGCAGGAGCAGGATCAAAAGACTCAGCAACAGAACCAACTCCAGACTCGTCAGCAGCTTCCATCGCAACAACAGTCGGTATCACCTCAGCGCCAATCTTCCTTCGTCGGCCTTCCACCCATCAGGCGGAGTTCTACATTCGGTATCAATCTCACCAAAAGAGCAAAGAAACGTTTCTCTCTTGAAGAGGACGACGATGTCGACGGTCAGGTTATCGTGTCTTCTCCGGTTTCCACGGTGACCACAAGCCAGGACCCGATCGATGCCAACACCCCATCACTTCATCAACATGTAGGTCGGGATGCGTCTACTCGGTTCGCACAACCTGCCCGAATCGAGACCGGGCTTTCAGCATCGCGCAAAGATAGTGCTATGTCCCACCAAGTCATCTCAGCCACATCTACCCAGGCGGCAACACTCGCTACAGAGAGCACTGGTGTTGCATGGGGCGATGATGAGAAGAGGGCTTTAGATCCCCGGCACTCCTTCAGACCTGGCGGTTCTACTCCTCACCCTATCGATACAAAGCTTGCAATGCAACAAGCAGGACGAACTGGCGGTGGCCAACTTGGCATGCGCTCACAACAGGGCGTGGTATCCCCGACGATAGGGGGCAACCCCATTCAACACTTACCGCCGCAAGGTCCCTGGAAATTAGAAGAATCTCACCTGTCGGAGCCTCTTTTGCCTGCGAGTCGTAATCGTCTGTCTGGTAGTCCAGCCTCCCCACACCAGCCGTTTTTTGGATTCGATAAAGAGACTGGGGTGCCCTCACCAGCAGTCCCGCGGCAAGAAACGCAACTACCACCTCGACAAAAGTTCTCTGAGGTGCCTCCGTCATCGGCACAGCGATATCCAGGTCTATTTACACCTCCGCCTCAAGGCCAACCCAACCTAGTGTCGCCGGTTGGGCCCCGTAGCTCTTACGATTTAGGACATCAGTTCTTCCCCCGGGATAGTTCTTCGATACAGAGAACCCATACGGCAGACTCTGAAGTAAGTAGTGTGGAGCCATCAGGAGACGATGAGCGGGGCAGGAAAAGACGGAGCTCAGGTTTCTTCAAAGAAATTGGTGAACGCTTCTCACGGCCCTCTTCAAGAGAAAGGCAGAGTTTCAAGGAAGACGAGGTAGACCACGTCGGTCACCCTGCTGATGATACAGAAAGGACTAGAAATCCTGTGCCGAATATGGCTGCTGGGGAAACCCAAAGCGGGCGGCAGAAGCGGCGGTCCAGCCTCTTCCTTAATTTAGGAGGCTCTAAACCGTCGGACACTGGATCTCAACAAGGACAGGAGGGCGAAGTGGCCACGCCGTCCCCAAAAGCCAGTCCTATCCCTGCCTCTGCCCAATTCCAGCCACCGGTTGCGCCTGCAGAGCGAAAGCGTTCTTGGCTTGGTTCAGCTGCTAACGATTCATCTGCCGCGCTACCAACATTGTCGCGTTCATCGACTTCGACCGCTGGCAATGATCAAGCTGGCGGTCACAAAGCACCTCCGAAGAAACGTTTCTCTGGTTTCGCAGGCAAGGTGTTCAACCGTTCCAGCCAACAGGAGCTACAGCCACCTCAGAAGCCGGGGACCTCCCATTCACTGGCATCGTCTTTTCAAAATCATCACTCCGGAGCACCTGCTACTCAACTTGATGTGTCTTCATCGCACGTCGCCGCTGGGAGAGAGCGCAGCAATACGACAGGATCCGGGCCCTTTGGTTTACTTCAAAGTACGCACTTGCAGACTGTTGGTGAAGAGGATCGCGGGAGAAGAAGTTCGGCCGGAAATCTCCTTTCTGGTATATTTGGTCATCGGTCATCGAGAAACCAAGAAGCCCAACAACCAGTTCAAGCTATTTCTCATCAAAAAGGCCATGTTCCTGCGCAGCCGAGGATGCTTCAGCCCGCACAGCAGCATCAACCTTCGAACCCAGGATCAAACCATTACATGGGTCTGTCACCTACGGTAAACCAGCAATTTGGCTCAGATCAGCAACAGTCATCTTCCCAGGGCTCGACGGCTCATTCAGGACGAAGTCTTGAGACTCAGCAACAAACAGCACTGTCCCGGTCAGCCCATTCGATTACAATGGGCCCCCAACCTTCCCAGATTGTATCTCCCGTCTTAAATGCGCACCAGAATCATGATGCTGCCATTGTGGAAAAGCGGCACGCATCTGGTACCATTACTGAAAGTAGAGCCGAACCTGACGCCTCTAATCGGGGCGTACTGGATACCGCACATTCTCGGACAGTTCCTGGTACATACCTCATGTCAGATCACTCTGCGCAGCAGCCACCTGCGCGATTGTATGTTGGACAGGACCAAGCGGGCAGCTCTCATGATCCAACCTTCTCTAACCCTCAAGCTCATGCACTTGGAATACAGGGGCTAGATGCTGGTCATCAAAATCTAGAACCCGCTTCGTCGCCGAGAGGCCCACTAGACGCGATGGCATCATCATCTAACGGAGTAGTGCATGCGCCGGACACGCTGCAGCGGTTGTCCATCTCAGCTTCACCGCCGCCCCCGCCTGTCTCCCAACGGCAGCCGTTGGTCTCTGTTGCACCATCAACAACGCGTAAAGCGCCATTTGCTGATCGACACCAAGCCCAAACAGTTGGAGTTGGTTCTCTAGACATAGGTCAGAACGATGAAATATCTCAACAGGCTCCTTCATCTGTGCCTCATATGATGCAGCAACAGGCTCCTGGACTCGGGCATGGAAGTATGGAGCAGTTTTCTCAAGAAAACAAGCTCCAGACCCAGCGATCCTCGTTGCCGTTGTTCTCTGACCAGAGCCAGCAGCCCGCTGCACAAGGCTTGGATGATGAGGGTCAACATAGCTCAGTATCGAAGTGGTTCAAGAACAGGACCTCTGCCCAAGCCACCCAACTTTCATCTCATCCAGGCCATCCAAAAGAGTCCATGACAAAGTCTCTATTCAGCGCCTTTAAGAGATCGTCGAAGCAACCTGAGGCCCGACCCCAACAACAACAACAACAGTCGCAGCAAATGCCACCACCTGACAGGGGGCTGCACGCACAGCCTTTTCAAACGAGACCTGGGCAGATATTGACGCCACCACCTGGGCCTCTGAATCAACGCAACCCTCACCCAATGCAAGGGCCGCTTGCTCACCAGCAACAACGTCATCCATCGCCAGCGGCATCTTTTGGACAAAGAGCTCCCCCGCAACACAGCATGTCTAGCGCAAGCTCTGAGATATCTCAAGGCACAGGGCGAGTCCTACAATACCATAGACCGTCAGGTGATCCTATCATGACTAGGGCTATTCCCGCCAGTCTCGGTCCCACTCCAGGCATGCCACAACCTCAGCCATATCAAGAGCCTCAATACGACCAAGTCCCCATTCCTCGTGGATACGAAGCCGTTCACGGAGAAGGGCATGTAGCACCATCTCCGTATGACATCGGACGCCCATCACCCCCCGCTCAGTATCATCATCATCAAATGCAGCCAGTACAGCAAAGTTATGCACAGCCGCCAGTTGCACATAGGAACCCATCCGAAGTATCCATGTACAATCAGTCGCAGGCTTTGGCGCCCAAAGACCAGCCGCAAGCTCCTAGTCAATGCACGGCGTCCTATCAAGCTGATCGCCGAGTAAGCACCACCTCCTACCAATCCACAGTGTCACATGCAAGCTACGGAGCACAACCTGGCTTCAATAGCACCCATCACAGTGTGCCGGAATACAACCAGCAACTCCAACCTCAACAACAAGAAGATCCAAGAGGGGTGCACCAGTTCAGCCAGGACATAGAATCCTACCATACGGCAAATCTTGGACAAAACCCCTCTGTTTATGCACAAGGTCACCCGCAATTGCACGCACATTCTAGCCGGGCCGACGCCTATGGAAATAATCATACAAAGCCCAGTACCATGTTACAAGTACAGCAACCTTCTCATGGGGACGCTCGTACAGACTTTGCTGTCCGACAATCAGTGGACTCCCCGCAAATCCAGTCCTCGCATGGTGGAGGTTTTCAACCTCCAGGTATCGACAATCTACATACAAACCAATCGCGTCTGAATACATTCGCCGAGCAGTCATCTCCCAGCCCGCCGCAGACACAGATATCGGTGCCAGGTCTTGCTGTTGACGCAGCCAGTCCCGCCAGAAAGGGCTCACACGGCGCCTCGATAGACATGATGAACATATCAGACGCGGGAGTTGCAGATGGCCAGCCTGTAGGCGCAGGTACACGCCTAAGCGTCAACATCCAGAAGGCTAACCAGGACACATCTGATTCCGATATATACGACGCAACTCCTCGTCTGCCGTCTGGTCCGCTTCCTCCACCTACAAAACCCATCACTGCGACGAGCACTGGACAAAGCCAAGTCAGCGAAAGTTCGGCAGACGAGGCGCCACGCAATGCTACCCATACGAATGGCAATTCCAATAGGGCCGGCGTCACAGCTCTCGTCCGAGGCAGAAGCACAAGAGCCGAGTTGGAGGATACTGAGGACGAACGCATGAGAACGATGCGACTCGAAGCACAGGAAGAAAAGATTCTCGTTGACCCCTACGAAGAGAAGCAGTCCTCGGGAAACAAGTACAGGAAGGAAGATGATCCTGAGGCGCCTCAAATGAGCGCAACAAGCTATCCGGGACAAGAATGGAACCCTTACGGCGCTGGCGGCTACGAAGAATGGGACTGAATGGCTGAATCCCAATTTTCGCACATCTGATGTTGGTGTTTTTTGACACATCTGGGTATACAGAACCACAAATATTTGGCACGAAAAGTGTAATATCGGGTAGCGCAATGTTGTTTTTTGTTTGGCTACAAGCGGATGGATTTATACCCCAAATACCCAGAACAGACGGACAGTTTCACACTGTAAATTTCAATGGCAAACTTTATTCTTAACCTGGTTATGTACGGGCTCCTGCGACATGGCCCGATGCGTTGTCTACTTCTTCAAGTGCCTGGCAGAGATCCGTCCTCAGTCTTCTTCTCCGTTATCCTCATGGTTCGCTCAGTACTTCGTAGCAGTATCGTACGTCGGCGGAAGCGATTCACGCTTCTCCTTATCGAGTCGCGGAACATCTGTGACACCAGAGGCGTAACGAGGGGGCAGAGTAGTGGTGGACTCCCTTCTCACGTCGGACTTGGTGTCGCTCCTAACGGAGTCTCGCCATCTGCTGAAAGGGCCTGGCATGAAGGACACGCGGCCAACGTCTTTCTGGGGAGGTTGCGGAGGTTGTTGAGGCTGAAAAGGCTGGGGGCCTTGAGGAGAGGCTGCCTTCTCAACGTCTCGCGGGATCGTCACATCCCGAGGGTTGAGGGGTTGTAGCTGCGAAAGGTCTCCATCTCGGTAGTTGCGTGGCGTGTCTCTCCAGCGACCAAAAGGTCCGCCCATGAACGGAGGACGGAACGGCGGACCTGCACCTGGGCCGAAGCCTCTTCCGCATCGCCCGCCACCGGCGGCACGTTGTTCAAGCCAGGCAGCACGGGCTTCGCGGCGTCTTTTGCAGCCACACATTTCTGTTATCGATATTGTTACCTGGGGTTGAATGCGTGACGGATATCGTTTGACTTTTTTTTCGTGAAATGATGCGGAGTTCTTGGAAACATTCAAAGCGAACTAGGTCGCGCCAGGTTCGTGGAAGGATTCGACGGCATCTTATAC